ACAGGGTTTACTAGAATCCCACCACTCCACCACAGAGTCACCGCAGTAGACGTTAGATAAGCGCTGTTAAGGACATTATTTATACCTACATGGAGGATTACTGTGCCTTTACCATCCTCTTCATCTATTATACCTGCAGTGCTAGCCTCTTTTTAATATCTTTTGCCCCTGCCCCTCCTAAGGTTAAAACTGCTCTATCCTTTCTATTCCCGCTATTACAAATGGGTTTATCAGTTTGTCTAACTATCGAGTCTCCACATACTATTACTTTGTCGTATTTCTCACATGCCTCTGTACTAAAAACTTCCTTTGGAGAAGTTGGCCTAACCTGTTCCTCTAGAGTAATTTTTCCCATAAGTTCATCCATAACAATGTGGCTGCCCAGCTGTTCCTCTCGGCTTTTTACGATTTCTCACTGCAGCTGTTTCAGCTGAGATATCATTGGTCTGAGCTAAGTGATCCCTAGTGCCACGTCAATATAGTAGAGCATATAAAACTATACCGGTAATAGTCATAGCTGTAGATAAGTTTTGTGCAACTGATCTCATTTGATTTATGTATAAAATTTGTAAGTGCAAACGTCACAGAATTGCACAACCTAACCATATATCACAAAATCACAATAACAACCAATGAAGGCCCCAGGGCCAGAAGACCAAATTACATATCGGAAGATGCTTTTGATCTCGATAAAAAGCAGGTTTTAGAGGTCTGCAATGTTCCTGCCAAGGAGTTTGATGAAACTGGAAGACGGGGTCAATCATGTCAAATGTTGGGCTCAGCTGGCTAGTCGAAAAAAAGACCGATAATATAATGAATACAGATAACTTTTGTCTTCATAATCATTGATTTAGAGTTACCATAAATCAAATTTATCCATTGCCATGAGATTAGAGTTTATGCTTCCTGTTTTAATATATTACATGTGAGGTGGGGATTAAAGAGATAAGTCTGTTGTCAATTTTATCACTAAATTTCAGCAGGCTTTCTAACGTTGATTTAAATTAAATCCTATTACCAAAGTAGCATGCCCCGGAATGCCTCTCAGATAGTCTAAAATCGAAATTGTTCTAGAGAGCTTATATACCCTCCTCATTGTGAGCAGTTAACTGCTCACTATGCAGGGCATGAAATTAGCCAAAATGTAAACAGGTCCTTACAAGTTTGAACAGGCCTTTAATTTTGTTCAATTTATTCTATTATTAATTAAATAAAGGCCTATAAAAATTCATTAAGGGCCACAATTAAAAAAATATTTGTTTGCCCTCACCCGACCCAGGCTGAAAAGTTTGGGTAGGTAGGTAGGCTTCTTTTTTTGAAGGGGTCTTTTTGCAAATTCAGCATGGTGTCTACATGCTTGGGTGTGCTAGTGTGGCAGGGGTTGAACTTAGATTTTTATTATGGTATCCATTCGGGATACCAGGTATTGAAATCTGGTATTCCCCCCAAAGATCTGGTAGTCACTAAGTAAAAACTAGTCAGGAAATTGGTAAATATTGTTGATATAAAGGCAAGATAGACAAAATTTTGAATAGGCCAAGTGGACTGATTATATGTGGGTTGAACCGGCGATTCAGGGGGTTGAACTGGCGGCCGCCGGCAAAATAGTGCTAATTTTGCGCACTGCTATATATGGCACTTTAGCACCACATGTTAGAGAATCAAGGGCTGGTAAATATTATTAAAGGCTGGTAGATTTTACAGGTCACTAGCCCCGTTGGCAGTGAAGATATTAGGTTAGTTTCAAGCCCTGAAATGTTGCTGCATATTCACAGACACAGAATCATATGAGTTGTAACTTATCCAGTTTTTTTTTATTCCTTAGAGTCGTGGGTGGAATTGGATGCTGCCCCTGGTGGCATGGTACGCGTGTCTTCCATTCATGATGACGAGGGAACCATGGAAAAATTGCTCATAGAAGCACAACGAGAATCAAACCAGTCATCAGCTATTGGCAGTAAATCCAATTCTAAAGGCAACAGGTAACTATATATAAAAGATTATTATTATTCAGATGTAGGAGGAGGCTCTAAAAGTCTAAAACCTTTGTTGCTTCTAGTTCTATTCCCTATACCAAATATTGTTTTTAATCTACTGTTAACTTGTTTAATCTAATCTACCTTCTAACTACCTTACTTGTACTGATTGTAGTAAATTAATTTATTGAATAATGCAACAAAACATGCTCCCAGTAGCAGTAAAGGTGCAAAATACAGATATCTATGTATATGCACCGTAATTAATGTTTAAACACCATATATATGTAATAGTAGGTGTATATATTATTTTGTTCATGTTCTTCCGCTCATATTTATATTGAGTGATCATGTTCTTATTGCCTTATTCCCTCGTTTATTAAGATGTGAGCCCAATCTGGCGTACTATACTGTCAGGGTAGATTTATATGAATTGGCAAATTCATTGCCTACTGTATGGTTTTTTGTCATTTTCTTGTCAAGTCCAAGAGGGGTGCAAACACCTGCAAGTATCAGCCCTAAAGGCTTGCAGAGCCCATCCAGTGGCAGTGAGTTGGCAGGGGATTTCAATGGTCTATCATCAAGAGTAAGTAGCAGTTGTACATATCTGGAGTGTTTCGTCATCATCAAGCTCCACGAGTGTTAAAAGTAAAAATGTAACTCAAATTTAATTGTTTAGTTCATGAATTGTTTATTTCCTATCATACAAATGCATTTAAATTTATTGGGTGTTGTGTTAGGTACATCATACATGTGTTACTACCATTTCTCAAACAATTATGGAAAGAAAACCATAATGACTTAATTGATCAGGCAATGTATAATCTGTAGAAGAGTTGTTTGCTATCCATCCATCACAATATTTATGCTGGGTTGCATACAAAACATGCCCGTGCGTACTAGCTGGGTGCAGGTGTACTGCTTAGTACAGCTCATAGGGTCTATGTCCCCCGGGGTACTGCCGGAACGTACCCTGGTACTATCTAATATGCCGGACCGTACCTTGCCTACTCCACTAACGAGTCTAGGGAGTCGCCTACGCCTACTCCCTAACCCTAACCCAAACCCGAACCCTAACCCTAACCCTAACCCTAATCCTAACCCTAACCATATATGAAATGGTGACCAGGGTACGTTCAGGTATACCGGACCCTACCCAGGGTACGTTCCGGCAGTACCCTGTGGGGGACATGTTATGTTTGTGTTTTTGTGTGCGCACTTTGGAATTGGCATACTGCCATGTGTAGTGTGAAAGTATGTATACAGCAGAAATAGAGCCCCCAAATTCCTAGCAGAGTAATAGCCTAAAGCACACATATTTTTTGTTTGAATACCAAAATATAAATTGGGTTAGCTCAGCTGGTCTGAGCTAGATGAAGATTAGATAATAAAATCTGGAGTGAATAAAAACATGCCTGACAAAATGTATGCATTGACATATGACAAAATGTATGCATTGGTACATGGAATGTATTGGAATGCATGGTAATATATGCATTGGAATGCATGGTAATGTATGCATTGGACAAAATGTATGCATGGTTGTATCAAGAGTAGATAATAACACATGTGTTATTATCTACTCTTGGTTGTATACAATGTTGTGAACTTGCATTGTTTCAACTATTTTGGCCAAATTTGTGGGACGGCTAATGCTCACACTTAATCCAACGGGCTAGTGCACTGTGCAGTACACCCATGTCGAATGTTGTTAAATATGTATATTTACTAAACATATTGTAATGTATTGTTTCATTATAGTCGCGTTCACACGGTCATGGTTTGGCTCG